TCTCCCTCCCTCTCCTTTCTCCCTCCCTCTCCTTCCTCTCTCCCTCTCCTTGCTCTCTCCCTCTCCTTGCTCTCTCCCTCTCCTTGCTCTCTCTCTCCCTCTCCTTGCTCTCTCTCCTTGCTCTCTGCGCTCTCTCTCTCTCTCCTTGCAAGCTCTCTCTCTCCTTGCGCGCTCTCTCTCTTCTTGCGTGCGCTCTCTCTCTACTTGCGCGCGCTCTCTCTCTCTCCTTGCGCGCGCTCTCTCTCTCCTTGCGCGCGCTCTCTCTCTCCTTGCGCGCTCTCTCCTTGCGTGCTCTCTCTCTCCTTGCGCGCTCTCTCTCTCCTTGCGCGCGCTCTCTCTCCTTGCTCTCTCACTCTCTCTCCTTGCTCACTCTTTCCTTGCTCTCTCTCTCCCCTTGCTCACTCTTTCCTTGCTCTCTCTTTCCTTGCTCTCTCTTTCCTTGCTCTCTCTCTCTCTCTCTCCTTGCTCTCTCTCTCTCCTTGCTCTCTCTCTCTCTCTCCTTGCTCTCTCTTTCTCTCTCCTTGCTCTCTCTTTCTCTCTCCTTGCTCTCTCTCTCCTTGCTCTCTCCTTGCTCTCTGCGCTCTCTCTCTCCTTGCTCTCTCTCCCTCTCCTTGCTCCCTCTCTCTCTCTCCTTGCTCTCTCTCCTTCTCCTCGCTCTCTCTCTCCTTCTCCTCGCTCTCTCTCTCCTTCTCCTCGCTCTCTCTCTCCTTCTCCTCGCTCTCTCTCTTTCCCTCTCCTCGCTCTCTCTCTCTCTCTCCCCCTCTCCTCGCTCTCTCTCCCTCTCCTCGCTCTCTCTCCCTCTCCTCGCTCTCTCTCTCTCCCCGCTCTCTCTCTCTCCCTCTCCTCGCTCTCCCTCTCCTCGCTCTCTCTCTCCTTCTCCTCGCTCTCTCTCTCTCCCTCTCCTCGCTCTCTCTCTCCCTCTCCTCGCTCTCTCTCTCCCTCTCCTCGCTCTCTCTCTCCCCCTCTCCTCGCTCTCTCTCTCCCTCTCTTTGCTCTCTCTCTCCCTCTCCTTGCTCTCTCTCTCCCTCTCCTTGCTCTCTCTCTCTCCCTCTCCTTGCTCTCTCTCTCTCCCTCTCCTTGCTCTCTCTCTCTCCCTCTCCTTGCTCTCTCCCTCTCCTCGCTCTCTCCCTCTCCTTGCTCTCTCCCTCTCCTTGCTCTCCCTCTCTCCCTCTCCTTGC